ATGAACCAATCACTTTCATAGGTTAGGTTATATCACTTGGTCTTCACAATGATGCTAGAGTGGACTCTTTTCAGATCCTTATTTGGATGAGAAAACTGCAGGCTCAAAAATGCTAGCTTTCTCAAATCTATACCTACTGGGCCCCTAATTCCTACTCTTTGGGGCGACACCAATCAAAAAATGGGCAGGGAGCTGTGGATTTAGCTCGGTGGTGCCACCACCTGCCTCGCAAGCACAAGGTCCAGGATTCGATCCCTGCTACCAAAAAAAAAGGCCAATCTGGTAAGGCATTACTTACTCTCTAGCAAATTAATCATTTTCATTTTTATGATTCAACTAAAATCAGGAAATTAAAAATGACAAAATATAGTGGCTGTCTGTGATGTTAAGACCAGGTTTGTGAAAAATATCTGACTGTGGCATTTTGAAAAATACTTGACCATATTTGGTGAGAGTAATGCTTTATACATATATTTTCATCTAATGAGCTAAACTTACCTAATTAGCTATCCATAACTTACAAAAAATCTAGGAAACACGTAACAGCGAACAGATCGCAGAGATAAACATGGGATATATTTTTAAACTTTTGCGAAGAAACAAAGGTTTCAAAATACTTATATAACCACTTAAAAAATATATCTAAAGCAACTACACACCTTATTAATAGAAGCAGTGTTACAAAAGACAGAGCGCAAGTAGATATTGTATTGCTAGTTTACGTAAAACTAAAGCTGGGACTTTTGCTTCTTTTGCACTTTAAAAGTTTTGTTCAGACTATGAACTTCTGACCATTTTGCATCCTGAAATATTTTCCTTTTTAAGAGTTTCTCCAACCTTGTGTGTGTTGTGTATGTTAAACTATATGCCTGAGGAAAAAGATGATGCAATCTCAGCGATAATGCCATTATGTATACACCTAGTCCCTATTTATCAACCGGTATAGCATTACTGTATTCTTGAAAGATTTCTGGGTAGCACAGGATATATAACACCACAAGTGAAATGATGTGAGATTTAAAGTCAGAGCTCCAGTGGATGCAACAGAAACCTGAGACAGGCTCAGAATACACTGGCACGTCTTAAAATTTCAATCAACTCTTTCAATGCAGTCTTCCTTCCACCCATGATTTCAAAAACACTTGAGTCACCACTTGATAAACAGAAGTATGAATAAAATGTTTTAAAATCAGTGATTTTCAAATTATTTTTTTAAACTGTATAACAGTAACAAAAATTTTACCCTGAACATATCTGCATGTGTCTGCACACATTATATAAGTCCACTAAATTTCATAAAATTTTCAGGAAATTATAGCTGTTCACATGTTAAAGTATATTTTCTTTCTTTCTTTCTTTCTTTCTTTCTTTCTTTCTTTCTTTCTTTCTTTTTGGTACTGGGGATCGAACTTAGGACCTTGCACTTAGGAGGCAGGTGAGGTGCCACTGAGCTAAATTCCCGGCCCATTAAAGTATATTGTCTATCCATTCCATAAAATAATTTTTTGGGCTATGCAAGAGTATAAAAGTCTTTTTTTCCCCAGTATCTAAAATATTTAAGAGTATAACTTCTTGACACAAAGATAATTTTTGAGATGGAAGTGCTTATTACCTTGATTGAACCTTTACACATTATACACACAAATACATTAATCCAACATACCCATAATGATATACAAATATTATATCTCAAAAATAAAAATTAAATGCTGCCTACAATCCATTAAATGGATTTCAAAATCAATGAAGTGGATCCCTGACTGCAACTTAGTGATTCTGATCCCACCCCTCCCACTCAACTGTAGAAATTATCTTAAAATAATTTACTGGTCATAGTGACTTTCTGGAGATCTGTCAGTGGAGGGACAGCGGGAAAAGTCAAATCTAATTTTTCCCCTTTCCCCAATGACCCTAGAGCTCTTATGAATTTTTAAGAAAAAGCTGGCAGATCTCCCGGTGACAGAAGTAACTTCACTTGCTGTGATGCTTTATCTGAGCCCACCTGAGCCTAGTCACTCAACTGTTTAGCTTTTCTAGACGGTGCTGGCATTGTCATTTTCACAAATGAATTCTAAAGTCCACTAGAACCTGCAAGAAGACAGTTGTCACCTCCAGAAGACCTTGAAAATTATAGTAGAAAGCCCTTGAGTTTATCAGAAACAAGTAAATTCTGAATTTAAGAAAAAAAAAGATATATCTTGGGGTAGGAAAGAAAATAATTTTAAAGGTTGGGAATATATTTTTAAATTTTACAAAGTAAGCAAATTTCTTAATATAACTTTCTAAATGCCTATTTCCAGCATCTAGAACAAAATAAATAGCGGGAGCTCAGGTAATAATTTTCTGATTTCAGTTAAGGATTATGATGTAATTCAACTATGTCTTCACATGGGAAATATATCTTATTATAGTAGTGTTTTATAATGTAATATATGTTTTAAATTGTTACACTTTTGTCTTATTAAATTGACATACATTCTGAAAAAAACATGTTTTAAATATTAACCATGTGATTCATGATTATTATAGTTACTGTGATTTTTTTTTATAGGCAAAGACTTTATGAAGAAAATCCCAATAACATGGACAATAGCAAGAAGAATCAACAAATGTGATTACATCAAATAAAGCTTTTGTGCATAGTAAAAGAAACCACCAGCACAGTGAAGAGATAATCCACAGGACAGGAAAAACTAATCTTCAGATTACCAGCTAATCTTCAGAAAAAGGACTAATACATATTCTGTATAAAAAGATTCCACAAATTCAAAGAAACAATCCAAAAATGGGCATCTGAAATGACAGACACTTCCTCAGATAAAAAAATACAAAAGCAAATAAATACATGAAAAAAATTCAACATCACTGGTCATTGCATAGTTGCTGTGATTTGTTTTATCTCTATGACTCAGAAGAAACTCAGGACTGACTCAGAGAAGAAAGGATTTTCTCGCCCTCTTGTGGTAATTTTGTTGTGCTGTATTCTCCAGCAATTCAGTACCAACTGGAATTCTTTGTATGTTAAGAGTCACAGCAGTTACTTTGATCTTCCAAACTTCCAAAAGCAGCACATACACTTTTGTCCTCTGCTGAACATACAGTTTCTACCTTCCTTTCAGTTTGTAATTCAAAAATTTAGTTATTTCCTTGCTATTTTACAAAAACATTGTTAGCTTCCAATTGCTGTATTAAAGGAATTTTTCTGAAAGTTAGTTTCTGTATTATATGCATATAAAAAATAAGTAAAAGGGGGCTGGGGATTTAGCTCAGTGGTTCCGCCCCCTACCTTACAAGCGCAAGGTCCTGAGTTCAATCCCTGGTACCAGGTACCAAAAAAAAAGAAAGAAAGAAAAAGGTGGGGGGCACAAGGAATCTTGATCATCGTACACGGGCTTCAGTAGATGGAAATAACTCAAACTGGCTGAGTATTGCCAGCAATTACCCTCAAGAGAACAGAAATCAATAGTCTAGACATTGTAGAGCTCAATAATATCACTCTGAATATTTTCAGTTTTAAAAAGTAAACAGTCTTTCCTTTAAAACCGTCTAGATCATATGCAACAGCCCATATTATTTCTCCTACAACACAAGTACAGTCAGGCCTCCATGTCTGCAGTTTCCACATTGCAGGGATGCAAGCAACAGCAAATTGAAAATATCAGGGAAAAAAGAACTGTGTCCGTAGTGAACATGTATTGACATTTTCCCGTCATTGTTCCTTAAACAATATAGTGTAATGACTATTTACATATCATTTACACTGTATCAAGGATTACAAATAATCTAAAAGTGATTTAAAGTATAAAGGTGGCTGTGTGGGGGTTATATTCAAATGCCAAATATTTTTAAATAAAGAACCTGAGACTTGCAGATACTGGTATCTTTAGGAGACTTGCAGATACTGGTATCTTTAGGCAGTCCTGGAAGCAATCTTCTGTAGATACCAAGGGCTAACTTGGATACTGAAGTATCCAGTATCTTCTTTGTAAAACGAGCAACACGGAACATGCCACCATGAAATAAACTGCATAGATAAAACTACCATGAGGGAATGAACTCAGGCAAAGGCTCTGATGAAAGAGGAGAGAAGAAATTTGAGAATGTGGTATTAGTTATTGCTAGAACATGAGGGGTGAGGTCTAAAGTTTACATCTGCTTCTGCAGCTAAATGCATGTGCCATCCAGAGGTAGGAAATGGTATTTTCAAACACAGTGCGTTTGAGGTGTCTTCAGGACACAGCAAATAGTTAAATGAGTTTGAGGATATGGAGCTCAGCAGAGATATGATTATAAATTATTGATGGCTAGGTAGCAAAATGAACCTGGATGAGAATCATCCAGATAGTATTCAAAGCATGAAAATAAGCTCAGGTTTGGCATCATTTAAGTCCACATCCACTGACATCCCCCTCCTCAATAGAGGAACTCTGTGCGGTCATAAACACTGTTCATGCTGGGAGACAGTGAAAATGAGTTGGACTCCATTTTGTGGACCAGAAAACCAAAGGTCAAATGTGTTCAGTGACTTCATTTAATTGTCCAGAGGTGCTCCATCCTATCATTCAAGTATTCTCTTTCTCTTTCTAATACTACTGTGTTTCTAATTGTAATTCTTCAGAGAACAGGGAGCAAAAGATTCTTCAGTAATTGTTTGGTGGCAAGAGATGTTTTTGTACATATCATGAAAAACAAAATGTTCTATTTCCAGGAACAGTCTTCCAAATATATAGTTTGTTATAAAATAAGACTACAAATTTACAATTCAAAACATGCTTCTTGTGGCCAATTCTGTAATTATGAATAACAAGTGACAACTGAATCAAACACAGAGAATATTTATGACTTCAAACAGCAAAATGGCCATAACTACTTTTATAGTCCTTTCTAAATCTTAAATGGTTGAAAATGGGTTTCACTAGGGAATTCTACCACATATTTTGTAACACATTTTTATAACTGCCCAGTGAAGAAAGCAACAGTAAGAGACTTCCCTGCACTACCTGCTTGGTCCGGCCGCCGCCAGCCTGGAGACTTGATCGCACTGGTAGAGCCCACAGGCTGGAGCACAGCAGCTGCGGTGAGGCTGGCCAGCGCTGGCCTGCTGGGGCCTGCACTCTCCAAGCTCTCAGGCCCACTCCGAGTTAGGGCCACAGGGGGAGCCACCGGGTGAGAAGCCTCTTGGATATCACTGTAAAGGAAATAAGGAAAACAAAATCTGAGTAGGAAACAAAACAATAAAGGCAACGAAGAAGTAACACCCATTCTATATTGGGAATTCTCTGTAAAAGGTACGCCATGAGGAACTGGGTTGCTTTGAAAAACTTACACAAGCAAACCCTTCAAGTGATAAGCTCATGTCTTTTCCCCATCCTGTCACAATACTTCAGAAGAGCTAAATGGCTCAAAATAAATTATTGGCAAATCCCTGAAAATCTCTGAAATGGCACCAATGCTTTTTCTCCTTTTGCCATTTTTTCTATTTCATCAACTTAGTTTCTCTGACGCCCCATCAGGTATTCTTTTCACTTGCACACCCACTCAGTAAATATGTAAACACCTACTAAAGGCCAGATATGGTGCCATGTGGTGATAAAGAAGAGACAAAGCAAGGGGGCTGGGGATTTAGCTCAGTGGTTCTGCTGCCTGCCTTGCAAGTGCAAGGTCCTGAGTTTGATCCCTGGTACCACCAAAAAAAAAGAAAAAAAAGAAGAAGAAGAAGAAGAAGAAGAGACAAGGCCTCCTGCTTAACAGAGTGTCTAGAGACTAGACTGCCATGATCTTCTTTCAACCAGTTATTTTCTTAATAGGAGACCTCATCTGCACTGGCTTGGTTTAGAAATCATATGACCTATATTACCAAGGCACTTGTTATTTATGATTATAGAGACAACAAAAAGCAACAATATGAGGTAGCTCAAATGATACAGCACATGCTTTGGAGAGCTGCAATAAGGAAGCTATTCTCTCAAAAATGAATAATAATTATTTCCCCAGCGCCTTTTGAATCTCAAGTAACACCTAACACAGTACGTATGTGACTGTCTATTCTTACAAAGGTCAGCTTGCAGGCTGACCCTTGAATGGCACGCAAGAATGTGGCAGATAAACTGGCCCCTGAAGTGACACAAAACTTTCTCTAAGCGATAAGAGTTGCTCACGGTGCCTGAACTGTCTGTACAGATGGTATAGTTTACAGTGAAATACTACTTTCCTCTGGAGAGTCTGGAATTTGGGTGCAAACAGCGCACAGGGTGTCCATGTAACAAGTCCCTCCAAAACTTGAGTCTTGGGTCTCCAGCGAGCCTCTTTTGTAAGCAGCACTTTGCATGCTTTGCCACAACTCCATACTGGGGGAGCTGAGCGCACCCAAGGGGCTCCTGAGAGAGGGCTCTTAGAAACCAGAGCTTCACTTTTTCTAGGCTTGGCCCCACGCACCTTTTACTTTGCTGATCTGGCTTTGTATTCTTAGCTGTGATAAATTTTAGTCATAACTATCTGCCGAGTCCTTTAGATTAGTCTAGTGAAACACAAAATGTGAGGGTAGTCCTGGGGCATTCTGACACTGTACAATTTTGAGAAATGAACTATAAATGTTTTAACCTTCATGCAATACAGCTTCTTATTCTTGTCCTTTCAAGTTCAAGGGAAACAGAGCCATCATCTTTTATTCTTTCCAATCAGTTTAGTGAGAAACAAAACCTTTCTTGATGTTGAAAAATACAATGAAATGTATAACACTTTAAAAATTCTTATCACAAATAGAAAGTATAAAATCGCTTATTTAAGGGGAATATTGAAAACCACTATCACTAAAAGCAACACACAAAAAAAGCATTAACAGAAACAGAGTTCAAACACTCTTGCACAGTGGCTAACTGAGTACTTTCTAAGAGCTCTGTAACAAAATTATTTTCCTTCTCCAAATCTCAGCCATCTAAATTTTAGATGAAAATAATCGTTTGCTGGTAAGATTTCCATGATTTGAGAAGGATAATTATGTCTAAAGTACTTAGCCTACTGGAAAGCACAGAATATAAACTTAACATATGAAAAGGATAATTAACATATTTAAATAATAAAAGATTTATTTCCAATACTTTTGCTCATCACAAATAAATAATTTTGAAATACTTATGTACGAGTCATTTTTGTTCTAAGATTAAATTCCTCATGACAATTTGTTAAAAAAAACCAATAATCTAGATAGACACAGCTCTAAGGAGAAAACCAAAACCAAACAATATTGTTATAAATGAAACAAAATTATAATTTAGAAGTAACAAAAAACCTAAATTAGCATCATTTAAATGTTTAGTAATCTGAAGGAATTAAAACTTAATTCCAGGGGAGTTGCCAGACAAACAGTTAGGAGAGTAAGTGGGATGACAGGAATTCAACAGGAGCCCAGTGAAGTCCTCCTGTGGGAACTGGTAGAACTAGGCCAGGGTAAGAAAACACCCAAGGGCAGCACAGGTCAGCTGTCACACACCTGACACAGGGATTTCCTTCAGGAGTCTGCTCTGTGCGTCTAATACCAGTGAGCAGAACTGGTGCAGGAAACGGAGGTACTTCCTAACAGGAAAACTTGTCCAAAGGAAAAACTTGGTTCCTTGCAATGCTTTTCCTGAAAGCCCTGGCACCAGAAGGCACTTAATTAACTCTACACAAAGGATGGAAGGCTAGAGAATGGGTGGAACCATTAAGAGGTGGGGGGAGAAGGTACCGTTCATGGCATTTAAAGCCTTCCAAGATAACATGCCTGCCTGACCATATCATTTCTCACGGTGTCACAGAAACTTCATTCTGGCCACAGATAAGTGTCCTCATGTAAAATGGTGCAAAAATGTTGCCTTTATTCCAAGGTTACTGTAAAAATGAAATTAAATCCTAGAGAGTACTTAGCACAATGCCCAGCACAGAGTACAGGTGAAAGCAGTAAGAGGGACTGTATTGTTTGATTCTAAATCCCATAACATCTAGTTCAGAGTCGATAAATGCTTTACTAAATAAACACTTAATTTTGCTTCTAAATGTAGTTTCTGGGTGGTTTTGAGTGTAGGATCTTAACGTCAGATATAATCTTGCTTTCTCAATTCAATTTTAAATTACATAATATTTCTCAGATTCCCAGGCAATAAGTATCATACATGCTTAAAAATTTAATTTTGACTGTATACTTTGAACACAGGTATCTTAGCTACTTTTTCATCATTGAGCTAAAATACCCAACACCCATTAGGTCCACAGACTTAGTCTGTAATAAACTTAGGCAAAAAAGTGATGGCAGAGGGGCACTGTGGAGGAGGTGTTCAGCCCAGTGCAGCCAAAAAGCAGAGTAAAGGGAAAAGCAGGAAGGTAGAGATCCCTTCCGGGTCAGGCCCCCAATGTCCCACCTATCCAGACTAAGCCCCACCTCCAAGCCTCACTTTCAGCTCTGAACTGATGAGTATAGTGTCCCCGGGATCCAAAAACCCTGCCTCTGAAAACACAAGCCTTTTGGGAATCATCGTAGACCAGGGATGGAGCTTTCAGGGATATGAACAGACCACTGTGGCACAGGTGCTCTAGGTTCATCACCACTGTTCTAATCTAAACCACAACAACAACCTTGTATGCATTCTTTCCACAAAAGCAAGATGCTTAAATCTTTTTTGGATATAAAATGCTTGATGCAGATTATAAAAAAACTATAAAACTAAGTTCTAAGCATGAAAATCGTTCCATTTTTATGCTTAAATTCAGGATTGATCAGCAGTTCAATTTTCTCTGAGAAAAAATCTTATTTATTGAAAACATTTAATGTAGTAATAAGTGAATATTGACCTAGATAATCATATCTAAATATATGATGTCCAGGTTTCTAAAAATCTTAACATGTCTTTTCTAATTCTTAGCTGTTGACTACTATTTAAAGAAAACATATAAATATTAGGTATACTGTAATAAAGGCAAAGGATTAATAGGGACACTAGCCACACTATTTTATATTTAGAAATAAAATGTTATCAGTAATCACTAGTAGCAAAATATTCGAAAATTAGCAACTAATTTGTTATTCTAGCATGCATACTACTTAGACTGCTATGTTATTTCTGAACTCATTTTTCAAATATATTTTTCAAAATTTAAAGTTGTTTAAGGTATATCAAACTTCTAAACAAAATTAAAATTCTTTCTAAAGGATTCTAATGAAGAAATCAATGTAAATATCTACAAAGACCTTCTGCTAATACCACAGATGCTGAAAATCAAATACGGTCATTTTCACAAGCCTGCCAAATAAACACTGAAATGATGTAATAAATTAATATGATTTCAAACTAAAGCACATTATTCTTGTTTGTTTCACACAACAAGTTCTTGAAAATGGAGAAAATATACTAGAAGAATAGAGAGTTTTTTTTTTCCAGAATTAAGCCAATAAGGAAAAAAGGAAAAGGAACTAAAGTTAACTTTCAGTGTCAGCAACCTGGTTATCTTGAGTTGGCATTCTTTTTCCATATTTGTTTAACTATTACAACAACTAAAGTTCAGTTACAGATTAGGAACACTTCACACCTGGAAACCTATTATCAAAGGGAAAATTGCTTGAAAAGTAATCGTGAGAGTAACTTTTATTCCGATTACATGTTTAAATAAGTAAAAAAACATCTGTATATCAACAGGTGTAACTATCAATGCCTAAGCTAGTTTTTAGCTAAAGTCTTACCAAAATTATACTACTATTCAGACACTGAAATGGCAGGCAAGGAACATTTTTGGGAGGATACTAATTACAAGGAACATTGTATTTTACAGAATTCTTCCAGGAGAACTCTATAAAAGGACCTGGTTGTATAGAGGTTCATGAATGTCTTTCCTTCTAGGAATCTGTGTTTATAAGAACATATTTTATATTTTACTAGGGAAAATTCCTGACAGTTTTTGCACCAAAGCTCACAGTACTAAATATACTGTAATGGAAAGAAACAGGTTTGGTATAATTTTATACCAAAACTTATAATTTTAAACGTTGTTATCACAAAACAAACAAGCAAACAAACAAATCTCGGAGATAAAACATCTCTGACTCTATGTAATCTGCCCTTTTGGGAAACCCTCTAAGTTAACAATGTTTTTCCTAGGAAGCCACATTCCTGTTTCCCAGAATGCCAACTAGATTACCTTGTCAAGAACCATTTCCTTTCT